TTAATATAAATGTAGGGTCTTATTTTTTGCAGAAAATTGATAAAGTCGTTTGAAAACAACCTTCGCTTTAAAAGCTTTTAAACATATGTATGTATGTGCGAATATACCCTGAAGAATAACTTTCCAACTCGAGAGATAAAATCACCATCAAAAACGTTATCTCCCCTCTACTCGGGCGATGTAACAAAAGTCAACTAAACAAATTATATTTAAATTTTGGTAGCAGTTAAGGCGCCCCTAGGAGCCATAAATTTATCTGTCCTGGCTCTTGTTGCCTTGGCCTGGGTAGAAATGGCCTTGCTGAACCTCAGGACCTGCCTGTGCTCGGTGGCTGAGGGAAGGGAGAGACAACGGAAACTTTTTCGCAACTCCTGTCGTCTCATTATGCCTGCCATTTAAAACAAATTCAATATTCGCTATGCTTTTTTGCCCTCAACATGGTCAACACCTTTGAACTTTCCGTCCTGACCCTTACTGTCCTGCCGCCCCTTTGCCTCTGCGTTTAGCATAAAATTGAATACGGCTCCATCCAGGGCTCAGCAGACAAGCGGCTTGATTTGGCCACAACTATCCAACAACAGGGAACCCCAAAGCCTTGTTTCAAAGTTCCAGGTTCAGGTCAGGTCACAATGCTGGGGCGAGCTAGGAGGAGGGTTATCAAACAGATTTCAGTTACTTTATTATAAAACTGGCTTAGATGTTTGCCTCCTCTGTTGATTTAGCTACAGGCTGCTGGGGATGTTTGTGATCCTATTGTTGCAGCAACTGCTGTTGCTCCGGGTCGATTGCGATTGGCTTTGTTTTTACTTTTGACCCATTAGAACAGCAATACAGGGAGACAGACAATGCTCAATATAAAAACCATTGAGATATTTTGCTTTGGGTCTATTAAATTTTTCGATAATTTAAAAAGGGGAATATTGGGGAATTTTGGCTTCCAGTCTTTATTTTCATTTATTGACGCAAACGTCGAATTTCAAATTCCAATCAACTGGCTTTGCAACAATTGCTATGCGAATTTTCAAACCCAAATCCAATGACAAGTTTTTGGGGAATTTAATTGAATTTTGTGTTAAAATATCATTAGATTTAAATATTTTTGGCTGCTGGGAAAGCATAGTTTTTGGTCTCTCGTCTCGTTTCTTTTCCAGTCTTATTAAAATTTTATTTTCGTGCTGGAACCCAGCCAATTTGTCGTTATCCTTTGTCCTGTCTGAATTTCATTTTGATTAAATTTGAAATATAATAAAATAAAAGTTTACCTTGTTATTCATTCTTATTGCCCCTGTCTGGCTGTCGGTCGTTCCTCTACATTATATTGGATTTTGGGCCATTTTCAAATAGTATTTAATTTTGAGTGGCATCCTGACCGAGCCAGAACGGGTCATTGCCAGTGTATGAGGCTTTAAAGCGCAAAAAATTGCATTTTGTAAAGTAAGCCCACATAGTGACCAAAAATGAATGTGGCAAAAGGACAGGAGATATGGCCACTGAAAACGGACTCTCTGGCCACAGGACGCACACGATATACGATAATTTCCAGCAGCGGCTTAATGCGTCGCCATAACACTCGTAATTTTTATAATGCCAACCACAGGAAAGAGGCAACAAAGCGGCTCAAAAAGTCAACCAGCTCTCTGGCTCATTAGGCCGTGGAAAAAGATCAAGGGTTGAATGGGAAGGTCGGTTAAAATAGAGTATATACATATAACGGAGTACCTACGACTACAGCAAAAAATCATTAATGAATTTAAAATGATTTTTCAATATAACTATGGTAGAGTTTACCTTCTTCAATTTTTAAAGTCAACTTAAATTCAGCTTAACTTATGTCATCGGTGAGTGTAGATAAGAGTTACGAATATTGCGCTGGATTATACATATTTAATGTCCACCCGCGCTCGTACTGCAGCCCCATGGGTCATAATAAAAATTTTCACCACTAATGAGCCCGACGATTAATCGAAAAATGCCAGAGTAAACAAGTACATTTCCATCCCGCAGAGCTTCAGTCTGGTGACGTGTTAATGTCGCTAGCATATGTGTACAAAAAATAAAAATGAGGAGGAGGATCCAGGAGTTGAAAGGCTCAACAGTGGTTACATCATGCTAGTGTCCTTGATTACAGGTAATTGTGGGTCTCGAGGCCTCTTGGCAATTATGTCGGAAATAGAAATAGCTTTGCGACCAGAGACTCCTTGTTAAATATCAATTAAAATGGCTGACAAGAAGTTAATCCTTGTGCCTCGGCCTCGGTCTCACTCATGCACGCACTCCCAGAAATATGCAACAAAATATTTGCAAAATGCATTTGACGTAAAAGTTGCGATAGCGTCAAGTTGTTCAAAACTATTGTCACACAGACATAGTCGGACCAACAGAAGCACACATCCAACACAAAATTCCATTAAAGTTTTGCATTTGAAATTGCATCAACAGAAAGCTTCTGAGTGCGGGTGTTGCACGAGGTAGGAGGCAAGGTGGTGGTAGAAGGTGGCGTGGCGTGGCATGGCGGTGGGTGTGGTTGCCTGGTGTGTGATGGGGCGTGGCACTGTGGTGGCTGTCGCGTCTAGATGCCTGTGTGTATGTGGTAGCTGATACTGATTGAGGTTAGTTTAACCCCAGAAAAAAAATCACATTTTACGAATGAAATGCATTTGATGTTTTGACATTAAGTAGAATTTTTTTATAAAATCTCTTTAAAGTGGAAAAAATTTATATTTTTTAGATATAATGTTGGGATACATAAACTTTTTTATTTGGATAGGCTATATAATAACGCCAATGAGCGTTATCGCTCATAATTGTTGAATTCAGATTTATCCATCAATCATAATAGGCTTAAAGTTTTTTAATGAATAAACCAGTTTATCTGAAAACCATTGAGCACTTTATCATTCAATGGCCCTTGGCCACTATGGGGTTAATTCTGGCAAAGAGGTTATGCTGCCCCAGCACCAGGACCAGCACTTCACTTCGCCATCTATGTTCGTTGTTATTTCATTTGGCTTTTCCATCCTTTTTTGTCAGCTTCCAAGTCAAGGCAAACCGAAAGCAAACGCAAATGCAAACCGAACGCAAGTCAAGCCAAAAGAGGCGGACTCCGGGCCAAGTGGTTAGAGGCCATGGGGCAAGGGGCACTGAGCAACGCCAGGAATGGCATCCCGAACCGAGAGCGCCCAAGTAAGCCAATCAAGGCATTCAAAGAGAGCATATTTAAATAGCTTTTAACATGCACGAGCTGTCGGGCTGGTTGCTGTAGTTAAGTGAAGGCCAAAACCGAAAGGCGACACAAAAATGCTGCCAAAAAAAAAACACAGACACAAAAATTGAAAGAAGAGAAGCTGCATCTGCTGAGGCATGGGAAAGGGGCTGAGTAGACAGTTTTTGGAAAAGGCCAGGGAAGGGTTGAGCAGTTTAGACTCGTTTAGCAATGCAGGCGACGTTATGCATTTCGCCTTTGACGCACTGGCATTGGACGCCTGGAAAATGCATCTGAATACCTAGGCAGGCAAATGGCAAGGAGCCGAGATGACAGACTAATGGGTAAACAGCTTCTTAGGCCAAGATTAATGGGTCAGGAGGAATCATTATCATGAATCCCCAATGCAATTTGTCGCTCTTTTTAAATATTAATAATTTGAATAAGGCAAGGCTTAAAAATTATAACAAAACTGTTTTCCCGACCTTTGCTGGCAACAGTTTCAGTTTTTTACGCTGCTGGCTTTAATGCTGTGAACCAGCCTCTGTCCACAAAGGCGGCAGTTCTAAACAAACAGGAAAAGCATAAAATATGCTCACATACAGACACACACATACACAAAAACCTATCCTTACACTCACACCCATTTGGAGGGCATTTAAGCGCATATTTATTGTACAACGTTGCGTATGCGCAATAAATTTTCACAAAATTTCGACGCATTGTGGCAATAAAATGATATTTTTTCATATTTACACATAAAGTCAACGGAAAAAAATGATGGCAGGGGTTGGGGATGGTTTAGGCTTAGGAGGGGTGTGGGCGAAAGGGGGCTTGTGAAGGATGTTACAACATTTTTTTACGGCCGTCCTTGGTTTTCATATAATGTGAAATATTTTCAACGCAGACATTTTTATTTATATGTACTTATATATACTTTTATCTGCGCGCATTTGACATGGGATGACGCGGAGCGGCAACAATAAAAGCAACACCAGTGGCAGCCGCCGCCACACATGTGACAGCCATCACAGCCATCACTGTTGTTGCCACTGTGCGGCTTGATTCAATGCCAAAACGTTGTTGCAGCTAAAACGCCGCATAAATCCATAAAATGGGAAAAATTGAAGAGAGAAACAATTAGAGTTTTGCTGACTAAGCACGATAAATAAATGCAGAGATACGTCAACTTAATCCTAAAATGTTTTACAATCCAATGGATCTTTCTATATTGTGAGAGTTTCAATAGACCAAGCTTTACTTTTACTTATTTTTTGGTTTTTTTTTTATTAGGACCTAACTAGCCCAATTAAGCTTTGGGTTTTGGGATTCAATAAAAGGGCCTGAAAGCCTGTCGAACCCAAAAGAAGGCAAAATGTTGGTGCACGCATTTGCACATGCATAATAAATAAATACAGCCGCCGCGGCGGCAGGCCATAGCCCTCAGGCCGCGGGATGTTGCTAAGCCAATGGGGGCGGAATGTTGGGGCCTGTTAACGGACGGCTCAAATTTACGCATTTGTAATTACGTAGGAATTAAGCCGCCATCAACATTTAATTGCTAAAAGCTTTACTCCAAACGAGGCAGCCACGCATGCCATGTAAACGTGCCAGCGAGTACGCCAGAGAAATGGAACATTTAATTAACAAATTTTACGCATTTATTTTCTATTTTCATGACGACGTCGACGATGATGATGATGATGATGATGATGCTGACCAACCACATACCAACGAAATAAAACCAAAAAATCCGTAACAACATAATTTTCGTGCCTTCAAACGGAACCTTACACAGTGAAAACGAAGGACATTGAGGCCGTCGAGGGTAAATCAGTGTCCTTGCCCTGCCCTATCACAGAGCCACTGGATAACGTGTATATGGTGCTATGGTTCCGCGATAATGCGGGCATACCCCTCTATAGGTGAGTAGAGCTGCCTGGGAGTTACCCTGGGAGTCTGAGGACTCAATTGGTCCATTGTCTCGGCTTATACACACACATATAATTAAAAGCAAACCAGAGTCCCAAGAGTTTCTGGCTTTTTAAATCGTTTGGGGCGCTGCCGCACATAAGTATGCTATGATTTACCCTCTTTAAGTATGCCTCTGCGTGCGATTGTGTGTGTGTGACTGTGTGTGTGGTCCGTGTGTTTATCTGTCCTGGTCTGGGTCGAAAGAATGTGTGATTTAGCTTAGCGCTCCCACCTGTTTTTGTTTCAGTTTTTTTTTTCTGTTTTCCTTTTTTTTTTGTTTGGCATTTGTTTTCCCCCAGTCTGGGCCATGGAATTAGCTTAATTATGTTTACCTAATTTAGAGTGATTAACCTGGGGGCATGACAAACCACAGGAATTATGTGCAGGCGAAAATGTTCGAGTCAAGCGCCGACTTCAAAGATTAAATTACGTAGCAGGTCCGAGTAAACGCAGGGCCAGATCGCAGGACCATAATAAAGTGTCTGTAATTGCCGGCCCTTGGCGAAAAAAAAAGAAATGTCCTGCACTGGGTTAGCTTCTAATTGCATTCACGGCATTTTCATGGCACGTTGCGCCTTTTGGTTGTCAACCAAAGATTTTTTTCTGCACGTAATTGCTTTTGCCTTGGTTAGGGTATAGTAAGGGTTATTGGACACAAAATACAATCAAGAGGGGTTACAAGGCTTCTAGACTTTACTAAGCAATTTAATTCACTCAAGATTGTACTAGAAATACTTAAAGACTTAAACTATTCATTTCAAACATTGAATATTTTATTTAGAAAACTCATGACTCATTCAAAAGCTACCTAAATGCTTAGAAACTTTATTGCATTTAACTGTCGCCGGTGGGGGGAAGGCGGCCCATTTAGGTCAACTCAATTTGCTTTAAGGGTATTTCCAAATTCAATCAGCCCCTGCACTTTGCATCCTGTCTCGTCCTTTCTATATTTTTTTACTCCCTTCCAGCTCCACCTCATCCGGCCCGGCCCGTCCGGTGCATTTTCATTACACTCAATTTGCATGGAGCCGCGCGGCTCTGAGCCGAGTTCGTTGCGTATTATTTAGCCATAAACATTTGCTGCATAGGCTCCCAGAGAACCGTTATTAAGTTGGGCAACTCTCTCAGCCATTTTACTTTCACAAACACACACACACACTCATAGCGCCCTTTCTCTTTCTTTTTCAGCCCTTTCACTCGCGCACTTGCTACTCCCTCCATTTAAGCGAAGTGCAACTGTTTTTTAGTTTTTAATTAAAATGGCGGCGCGAAGGAACGAAAAAAAAGGAAAAAAAAAAATTGGGTTAAAGTTGGGGAGCTTTCGCTCTCAGCTGCACTGTAAGAAATGTTAAAGATACAATTCTTAAGGAAAAAAATATATAAATAATAAAAAACGTATAAGATTCTTAAGATATAGAAAGACCCCAAAATTAAGATAAGTTATAGACACTTTAAAATTTAAACTTTTCTTGTCGTGTAGCCTGGCTGTTGCCACTACTGCAGCTGCACTTGAGTCGGCTGCTGGCCGTGCCGCAATTAAGTTGTTGCATTTGCCACGGACGACGACGAGGGGGGTGGCACGGCTTCCCGCATAAATTATTGTGTGTTGCATACAAAAGGGCGCTTAACGCTCAGACCGCCGCAGTAGCGGCCGAAAGTGGCTGAAATCGCAGCCGAAACATTTTCCCCCGTAAGGGGAAGGGGTTGAGAAGCAATCGGAGTGGCGAATGAGGACCTCTTCTGATTGAGAGACCTCAGTCTGGCTACAAATTCCTCTTATAGGTCGGACAAAAAATTTCCATTTGCCGGGGAAGCTTTAACGAAATTAAATTTACGGTCTACCAATTAATTCGCAAAATAAAATTTTATCGGTAAATGGTTATATACACATTAAGATTAGTGCTTAATTCCAAACATCTCCGACGATTTATAATTTTATTTTTCTTTTAGCTTTAATCTTTATACTTCTGCCAAAGTTGGCTTTAATCCTTATCCGAGTTCATTGAAATTTATAGTTTCTTGGAAAGTTCGTAACTCAGTGACAGCAGAAACTTGGCCCATTAAATGCAATGCAGGCCTAAATGTTCCGTTGAAATTGAAAAATAAAAATCCTTGAAAAGCATAACAAAAATTTAATTTTATCTGCAGCGCATAAATTGCATTTGGCAAGGAAGGCTCTGCCAAAAGCCAACCCAAACCCCATCCACACCCCAGCCACCCAAAAATTTGCACCCCCGCCTAATGAGCAGGCTGAAATAAATTACGCTAATTTTCGTGCAAAAAGTTCCGAGGCATCCAAAAATAGCGCGAGAGAGAGAAGGTTGAAATATATATCGGCTATGGATTTCATTAATTTCAGAGTGGGTCGAAATGTTGGGGCTTGATTTAATTCGCGATCCACGCCCACATTAAATATTAATGGGTATGGGGCGGGCATTTTCTGGCTTCATGTTATTTAATGTATTTGTGTGTGTGTTTTTTTTCTTCCATTTCAGCTTCGATGTGCGCGATAAGGAGAGCCGGAACCAGCCACGACACTGGTCAGCACCGGAGGTTTTTGGCTCACGTGCCAAATTCCATTTTGAATCGCAGCCAGCAACCTTGGAAATTAAGGTGAGATTTGCCCGTGGGATCATGAATCCTGCGCTCATTAATTTGTGTGCTAGAGTGGTGGAGCAGCGGAGGATTTAATATTTTAAATTAGTTTGAATTGAATATGCCATTGAAAGGATATGCACCTGAAAAGGCAACTTTTCGGGGCCACTGGGCATTGCATTACAAAAAACTGTATACATAAATGCACATTTTAAATGAATTAATGTGCCGACAAAAAAAGAACTAAAAAAAAATTAAATTGTGGCGGGTTGTGAAAATGTAAATATAAATAAATCTGTGGAAAATCGTTGCTCTCACTGCGAATGTATATTTAGATTTAAAACCGATTGTGAAAAAAAGGCGAAAATTGTTAACAAACTTAACACAATTTTTTTGTTATTCGCATAATGCAATTTGTGATAAAAATCCAATGACGCTGTGAGTATTGTACATTAAATGAAAAATCTGAAATGCGTACTGGGGAAAAAAAATACATTCCCAGAAGCATAACAAAGCAGGAAGAGAGTAAGCCAGCTAGCGGAAGCGGCAATGGTGAAAACATGGCTAAGAAGAGCCGAGGAAACCGAACGGAATGTGGAAAACAAATTTAGATATCAAAAGTTGTTAAATTGCTTGGCGCACGCGAAATGTTTATTAATGTCTTGCATGTTTACAGATAACTTGATTTACCGTTTCTGTCATGCAATACATAGATACAAACACATACATCAGCGCATCTGTAAGCTGTATGTGTAAGCGTGAGCTGTGAGCTGTGAGCTCTGAGTTAGGTCCTTATGCAACGTGTTTGCTACTTCAATTCAGCGTATCGCCTTGGATTGCCATTCGCCATTCGCCTTGCCCTGGACTTGTCTTTGCCCAGGCTTTTGACTTTTTAAAGGCCAACTTAGTTAAGGTCTTAAGTGAGTTAAGCAATAAACAGCCAGCCAGGGAGCCTTTCGTTAACGAGCTGCATTTTGAAATGAATGTGAAATGCACACGAACAGGCGGCCAGCCCTGCAAGCCTTCATAATGCGAAACTGGCAGGCAGTACTCGCAGGACAAGGTAACTCCAAGGGAGTGGAGTAGAGTGGTCTGGGTAAAAATATTACTCATAAATTATGTGCTAAAATTGGCTTGGGATTGGCGGGCGGGTTTCAGCTTATAAATGAATTTTAATTGCGTTTCAATTGCAAGCCAATTAACCTGACGCTGTGGCTAAGAGTGGCTAAGATAACTAAGAGTGGCTGACATCAAAGGATGTCAGTCCCCATGAGGTCAATAGCATTTGAAAAGCTTAGCAATAGAATACTAATTGATATAAAATTAACAAAAATCACCTCAAAATAAAACCAAATGTCTAAAGTCAAAAAGATTTATTTTATTTTCAACCATAAACTTCATAATGGAAGAAATTCGTTTACGCTTCATTGAATTATTTAATGAGAGAATCAAGTCAGTCGGAACAGGATCTGAAAAGGTTTGGAAAAAGACAGTAGTGTCATGTGAGAATCAATTTAAATGTAGGTGACAAGAGGAAAATATTGTTGGATTTTACGGCCTCTCGTTTGCCAACCGCAAAAGCTCAAGTGTCATGCAATAATTGAAAATAATATAAGCTTGGTCTGGGTCTGCAACTGTGTGAATGCTAATCGTCTGTTTCCCCCCAAAACACACTAAAACACCTAACCATATAATAACTTGGCACTCTTGCAGGATATCAAGCGTCATGATCAGGGTATTTACCGATGTCGTGTGGACTTTCGCACCAGCCAAACGCAAAGTTTCCGCTTCAATTTGTCAGTAATAAGTGAGTGTCACCCCAAATGAAGCATTCGAAATATATTCATGATTGTCATTGAAAAATGTCTCTGTTTTTCCTTACCATCTGTTTGCTTCTTTAGTACTTCCGGAGCAGCCAATCATCATGGACCGATGGGGTCGTCAGCTGAATGGCACTCAATTGGGGCCCAAACAGGAGGGCGATGATATCGTTATCACTTGTCGTGTGGTGGGCGGTAAGTTGAGCTGACTGACTACAAAAGACGAACTTAACCCCAATACCAAATACCCAGAGTCCCTAACACACACTCCCTTTAGACTCCCCCACATAAAACACACACGAGCCATATCCGTATGCTCGGCTAGACAATTTCCTGTTAATTTCCTTAAAAGCTTTGACCGGCAAAAACGCAAAACAAAAAAAAAATGGATAACATACAGCGAAGGAGTAAAACTGCTCCAAATGAAAATATCACAAAGTCTGCTTTGGTTTTGTCTTGCTTTAGCTTTAGCTTTGGCTTTGGCTCGGCTTGGCTTGGGTTGTGGTATTTTTTCAAGCTTGACTTTTTAATTTGCACCATTTTTCGTTTTTACTAGCAGCTTACTAAACTTTTTCCATTGGTTTTCGTTTTGGGGGCGTCCTCCCAATAGGTCGGCCACAACCGCAAGTCCGGTGGCTCGTAAATGGACTGCTTGTCGACAATCAAAACGAGCACAATTCCGGCGATGTTATCGAGAATCGTCTGTTGTGGCCATCGGTGCAGCGCAACGATTTGAATTCCGTATTCACATGTCAGGCACTGAATACTCAATTAGATAAGCCCAAGGAGAAGAGCTTTATACTGGATATGCACTGTAAGTAGACCGATTGATTGGGTGTACCTGGAAATCGGGGCATCTATTGGTAAATCTATTATATATATAAGAACCCGAAAATATAATTTCTAAGAATGAGTAAGGCTTTATTGATAAATTGTCTTTAATGAAATCTATACTTTGAAGTACTTTGAAAGGCAGTAACTAGTACCTATTACTTGTATCTAATTAAACCTTCTCAAACAAGAAACTAGAGAGCTAACCATAATATACATAAAATAATACCATTTGCGGAGAATATTCCTTAGAAATTAAACAAAATTACAGCTCTGGCTGCGGCAGGTTATGCATAGGTTAGATTATAAACAATGATACGAATTTCGAGCTGGCATAGGCTCAGCGTCCAACGCACATTTGCCATAAGGTTAAATACCAACTCAAAGCAGCATTATAAGGGCCATTAAATAATTATATGCCAACTGGAGTACTACATTGTCGATGGGGTGGGCGTCGCCGACTGTAGAATGTCAGGACCTGCCGGGAAAGTACAGTGTTCTGCAAAGCCAGTTTCCCCGTTTTCCCCTCAAGACTCAAAACACAAAGCACAAAACGCCAGGAGCTCAAGGAGCAAAATATCAACGAGCTGTAGACACGGCAGCCAGCCAGCCTGGCAGCCCGGCAGCTAGGCAGCTTGCTGGCGTGGTAGCCCGCCCGGCAGCAGTCAGCCAAAGGCCGGACAAAGTCATAATCCTGCCAGGAAGTGCAGCACTTGAGAGCTGTCGAGACGTAATAGACACAAATTGTTGTTGATATGAACACATATACACACTCACAGTGAGATATAGTCAGGCTAAGTACCCGAGAAGGTGGTCAGAAATGATTGCTGTACAAAACGAACTGCAATTATGAGACCATGAAATATTATGGTAAACTGTTTTAATTACAATTGCATTGAATTGAATGTCCTTCCTGTCCAATTACAGTGAAGCCCCTGGTGGTAAGAATCATGGATCCGCCCAGCTCCATGACTGCAGATCGTCGCTATGAGGTCTCCTGCGAGTCCTCCGGCTCCCGGCCGAATGCCATCATCACATGGTACAAGGGAAAACGGCAATTACGACGCACAAAGGTGAGTGTGGGGGGGAAAAGTAGTTCAAATTGGGCCTTGGGTGGGTTGAAGGTGGGTGAAAATGGTCGAGAATGGGTGGTGGTGGTTAGTGGAGTGTAGAGTGACCGCAATTGACGCAGGTAGTTGGCCAGCTCTATGCTGCTGTTGACTGACTCACGTTCAGCTCGATAACTTATTGTGTTTGCACAGTCATGCCAAACAAACGTAGCTCGTAACTCGTGGCCACCTTCTCCTACTCCTCCACCGACTACTCCGAACCAACCTCCTCCTTTTCCAGCTTTATCCACAACAGACAGAAACGGAATCAGAGACACAGACCAGGTCCCCGAAACCACCCACTTGTTGTCCCTGGGCGTGGTTCACACTCTCAACGGTGTCCTAGTCCAGTTGCCGCCAGTCGCCCCCACAACTTGGTTAGAATAAACACAGATAATGTGATATAAACTCCACAATACACAAACGATTCTACCCCGCTTAGCAAATCGCAATGGTTCTTTCCCTTCTCTTGGGTTTTTTTTACTCTTTCTTGGGGTTGAATAATTTTCTTTTTTATGTTTCTAAAGTATTTTTAATTTTATTAAAAATTTATTGTCGTTTCTTTCCATTAAACTTATACTTCAATTAAATACAACGTATGTTTTTAATAAAATAATGTATATTATTTAAAAGAAATCTTGTTTCATCTTCTTGAAGATATATTTTGCAAAAATATTGAAAAAAAAATTTAAAAAAAACTATTGATGTATTTTGTAAGCGTATTTGTATGTTCGGTTTACTACGCTTGTTGTTCTGGGTTTGCGTTTTCATTTTTTTTTCTTTTTTGGTTTTTTTTGCTTCTTTAACTTTGGACAAATTTATGGGAGTTTTGGCGCAATTTTGTTGCAATTCATTTTTGTGTGCCGGGACCTCGAGTCGAGTCCTGGTTTCGGTCTATCCGCTCAGGTCTGGCCCGTTGTTTATGTCCATGTCTATCCGCCTATATGCATACACGCTGATTGCTTTGCCGTTTTGGCTAGGGCCTCCTCCTGGGCCAATGTTTTTAAAGGCCGGAAATGTTTTTCAGTAGTTTTCATGTAGCATAAAGTTGCCGTAATGCGGCATAGACTCCTCGCCAATCGAGGCCCGGTCGAGCCATCCCACATGTTTTACATGGCTTTTGGTACCCTACTTTTAGGGTCTCTAATGTATGTCTGCGTCTGTCCGAATGTCGGGTTGTGTGTGTGGGGGAGACCAGAGACCAGACTAGAGCTCTGCCCCTCTGGTTTGAGTGTTTTAGCTGTGGAAACATGGCATTAATCAAAGCTCTGCAGACGCTCTAATTGAGAAGTTTAACGTACCATTTCAAACAGAACACACAAGTGAAATATGGTTGTGGAATATATTATAATATATTTCAAACGGACAACCCTTCACTAAAATTGATTTTCCTTAAAATATTTAAAGGAGTTTAAAGATAAAATCTAAACTCTATAAATAATAAACTTTATTTCGGGTTACTGTTGCTCTGAGAATCAATCATTTCCACCGCAAAAAATCACGTAAACCCAATCGGTCATATGCCGCCAAAGACAAGGATTTATATTCCCGCTAACTGCCGGCACTTTAACACCCCGACTCCCCATAACCCACTCTGGCACCCACATACTCGTACGTATCTCGGGAAAACGTTGCCTTGGAGCAATCCGAGCAATGTGCAAACTGCCAACAAAGGAGCATATCGAGGGGAGATGTGTGTAAAACGCTTTATGACCAAAGCAACTATAAGGCGGCGAGCGAAGCTCAACTAATTGTGCGAAGCCTTTGCCGCTGTCCCTGACTGCCATTAAATTTATAATACCTCGCCAGCCCACACACACACTCCCACACTCCACTACCCACACGTGGGCACATAAAGCCCGAGCAAACACACCAATAAATTTTAAATTGCAAACATAAAATATTTCGACAAATTTGCAAACAAAAAAGCACAAAGAAAGGAGGGAAATTGTTGGGGAAAACGCAAAAGGAACGTCGCCTTTGGCCAAAGTCGGAGTACCGTCTTAGCCAGGCTGGCACTGGAGTGGCTGGTGTTGGGGAAAAAACTTAATTAATGCAGAAACATTTTCTTATATTTTCTGTGCACTTTTTTTTCTCGTCTTTCCTTTTTCAGGACGACATATCAAAGAACTCGACACGCTCCGAGCTGAGCTTTGTGCCGACCACAGACGACGATGGCAAATCGATAACATGCCGTGCGGAAAATCCAAATGTGAATGGCCTGTATTTGGAGACCATGTGGAAATTGAATGTCGTTTGTAAGTATTACAAATTGTGCTTAAGTCTAAAGTATGAGTGAAATGGGGTAGGTTTGGGGTGGCAGAGGCAGCGGCCGAAGGAGAAGCAGGCCAAAGAAAAGGGCCGCCCAAAAGAAACCGAAAAGGAGAACCAGAGGCAACGGCAAAGGAAAAGCTACCATTGCCGACAGCTACCAAAAGGTAGACAGTCCTGGGCCAGGACAAGACCAGGCTAAAATTTATTACGTCGGCGATGTCGCCATCGCCATCGCAGCCGTTGAAAGCCTTTAAAATGCAAATAAATCAAAGACAAATGACAAATTGTGAATAATTTGCCAAAGGGCCAAAACACTGTGGCATCGAAGGGGAACGGTCCAAATGAAATATGTGGGCTAACAAAATGTATGGCAGTCGCTTAAATTAAATGAACGACTTTTGCCATATACCCCTGCTTCAAAAAAAAATCCTGAAAATAAACAAAAAATAACTTTGTAAAGTAGTCCAAAAGTGGAGATTCAAAATTGGGTCTGAAATTATTTTTATCGCCATGAGAGGATGAGGAGGTATACCTGAAAATTTAATGAAATCTCGCAATTATTGTATGTCTCTCCCGGTAAGCCACTCGAATCCGTATTCCATAGCCCCAACATAACCATCAGGGAGCTACTGCGGACATCGTAAAGTTCACGGCAAAAGTGTCGGTTTGGCTTCCCAAGCGCGTTGTACTCAATTGCGTTACGTATACGCCATGTATGGCCAAAATGTGATTCTCCCTTTTTGCCCACTCTATGTTGCCAAGGCATCACGTAATGGCATTTCTTTGCTTTTCGTTTGTTAAAATATGAAAATTTTCGCTACTTCAATCCGGGATTGAGCCACACCCACACGCTCATGCCCCAGGCCCACTCTCAGTCCAAAAATTACTACAAGTACGGCAATATTTGTCTGTTGGTATGCGCATATAGATATGTTTATAACGTAATATGATTATATTTTTTATGCGCCACACATTCACATTCCAGGCTCATATTTTATGTTTTAGAATATTATATTTTATTTGTTTGTTTTTGCTCACGTTAAGGCGATTGCCGCTCCTTTGCTGCTCCTCGCCATCCTCAAGGATGTTTTTCTTGTTCCCATTTTGTTGCTACGTTGGCGCAAATAAACTTTATGATCGGCACGTATAGGAGCAACAGCAACAACAACAACAACCAGCTCATACGCAAATGTGAGAGTTTTCCGAAAATTTTCCTGTTGAGGCAGGCTGTGCTTTTGGGTAATTTCCAAGAAACGAATGTGTTTTTTAATTTTCTTGCATAAATGACTTGACTTTCAAGACCGTAGGGGGCACGAAGGACTCATTAACCTAGAACAGGGGGCCAATGTTTAGATTCAAAAAACGGTTAAGGGAATTTTTAATAATTATATTTCTATTTTAAAGTTCTCTAATATTTCTGGCAGTTGTTTCCAATTTTGACATTGTATATGACCTGACTTCTTTATGTCTCCGTTTGGGATGATTTCGTTTATGGAATAAAGTACATACGATATCTGCATCACGCGTGAGTTATTATGCCAACTGCGTTTTGGCTCCTTAGGCACGACATTTGCCAAGGCCATTTGGACATGCTTTATGCCCCATTCGAAGCCCCAGTCCCCCCCAATCCCTCCCATTGTATAATTTTGTTTATATCTGGTATGTGAGTGGAAAGAGCGAGTGTGTGACATGCTCGTTTTAAAATTTATAATGTTACTGAGCGCGGGAGCCTTAGTTGGTCTCCTAGCAATGGAAACAAGACAAAACATGGAATGCAATCACAGACGCTCTACAGATTCCCCCAAGAGTGCACTGCAGAGCCAGAAATGGTGCAGTTGAAGAAAAAAATTATTAAAATTTGAAGGAAAAGGGATATTTTTCTGATAAAGGAACCGACTTTGAAAGGGAAGTAATATTGCGTATTCTGAGAAAAACATAAAGGGTCCAGTCCGCATAGTGTTTAATCTTTGATTGAAAGGGCTATAGTATCAGTCCTGCTTAATTTTTTATTAAGAATACAAGAAGTTGTTTTTAGATGTGAATGCTTAATTAATCCAATTGTAAAATGTAACAGTTGAAGTAAGCCGAACATTAACAATATTAGAAACCAAATGTAAAACAAATTAGCAAACAAAATTAAATTTTAAGAATACAATATTGAAGAGTAAGTATTTTTCTTCAGTGCATATGTATGAATCACATTCGCACGCATACGAGCTGTAAGTGTCTTCCAGTATGTGTCTTTGTTGCTGTTGTTTATGGCCGGGCTGCTTCTGCTCCGCGGTGCCTTCTGGATGCTGGTAGCTCGCTGTAGGATGTTGTATGGTAGCTGGAGGATGCCGGAGCGTGCCTGGCATTTGAAAAAAGCCAGAGCTAACGCAATATGTATTGCGCTGAATGCCACAATTTGAGTTGATATTTTTAAAGTGGCGCTAGCTCACTGGAGGAGCTTGCGCAATCGAGTGTTTTAAATGTGGGTGGGGTGAAGCTTTCCACCAATGAATCGGTGGACAAATCGGCCACCAGGGCATCGTAGACGGTGTGCGGCACCACGGTGCCTACGATCTTCTTTTTTACATCCGTTTTGACCCGAATGATCTGTATTTTGTGTCCATTTGTCTCAACGATCTGCTCAATTCGGTCCCAGATGGGCAGCATAAGGCCCGAGAGAACGTGGTAGGTGCGGATTCGAAGGCCCACCTCGCAGGTCACGGGATTGGGACAGTACCGGTTCCAGTAAGAGTGAGAGCAGTGATCTAGGCACGTATCATACTGCTCCTGCCAAAAGGGGCGAGCCACGTCCGGAGAAACTCGTACGTAGCGATTGTTAATGGAGCCAAGGGTCTCCAAGCGCACTTGAGGCCCGGTGTTCGGGCGGTAGATCTGTAAGTTAATCTTGTTGGGTGTGGTCGGCGGAGGAGGATTATCCCTCGGATTAGACGGGGCCGGGAGACACAAGATTGAAGAGTTCTTGTTGCGCCGCAACTGCTTCAGCACATAGAAGCCGTCGTGATCTTGACGGGCGTCCTTGCGGAACCTGCAAGAATTAGAAATTAATTTCAGTTTTATTTAAAAATTAATACTCACTTGGCCACGGCGATTTCAAAGGACATGCCTCTCTCCACCTTAACGGTGTGCAGTTCAGTGGCTGCCTCTCCTGTGGAATGCTTGCGAGTGAATTTCATCAGCTTGATCGATTTGACACTTGCCCCGTGGGCGTCCAGGTCGAGAATGCCGAGATCAAAGCGTCCCGAGCGTTTCATTTGCAAAATCTGGGAGTACATCTTGTCCAGGAAGAACTTGAAGAGCGCATTCTGGATCTCGACGCGGCAGCCGAGAATGCGATTAAGAAACTTGGGAATGTTGTTGCTGTCCTTCTCCACGGTGTAAATCTTGGTCTTGTTCTCTTCCCGAACATTCAACATGCCCACTCCGGCCATAGCCCTGGCGCAGTCTTGGGCAAAGTCGCCCTTGTAGTTGGTGGGCAAGTGCGAGATGTCCAGGGTCTTGTCGCCGGTCAGCTGTTGCATGACATTCTCTAGGGCACTGCGGCCAATGCTGTTGTCGATATTGAACTGGGACAGATCCCTGGCATCGGTGGCTCGTCTATCACCCTGGGTGAGGGCTCCCAGGCTTTCCAGGCGCTTGGCCACCGTCGAGGCGAAGCGTCGCTCGCCAGCCAAGTCGGTGATGACAAACACGTACTCCGGCGAGTTGACCTGGTTGGAGCGATGTGTCCGACCAAACTGCTGGATGGCCCGATCGGCGCTCCACGGCAGCTCCAGGGTGATGTGCAGACGACGTCGCTGGTTGGACACCCGTTTGTCGCTCTGCAAGGAGATGCCACTCGAGGCGGCTTCGGAAATAATGGCCACGTGCTTGCTGCCGTTCATGAAGCGCTGCTTCTCCCGATAATTCACCAAATCCGTTGAGGTATCACTCTCACAGCGAGGCTCATACTTGTAGCCATCGTACTCGGTACGCACCACGCGTCCACGTCGTCCGGTCATTTCCGCCACCTTGGTGGGTCCACCCAGATCCGAGATCAGCTTGTCCAGCGTATTGGGTGGCATGCGACGGCCCAAGACCTCGATCTTCTCCAGTAGTACCTCCCGTGAACAAATACATCGTTCCACATCACGTTCTGTGATGTTGGCCTTCTGCGGCTTGGTATTGTCGATATTGTAGTTGGTATCGTCTTCGTTGTCCTGATCCCGCATATTGTTGCACAAATGCTGCAAGATGCGTTCCTGCATCGTCATTTTCTCCGCTGAAATAAAACATGGATATAAAATTTATAAATCTCATTAAAAAAAAGATAAAAACTTACCCTTTTCGACCTTTGGGGGCCTGCCACGACGCTTTCGTCCTGCCTTACGCTCATCCTCAGAGATCCAGCTGTTCTCGTACATCTCAATATCGCTCTCGCCAGCCTCTGCATCCATATCGTCATCGAACCAGTCTGGATTCATCCTGGCCTTTTTGGGACCTGGTGGTCGTGAACGGGACTCTGGCACGAATTCCCCTGTGTTCAGCAGATGATGGAAGGAGTCACGCTTGGGAGCCGGGAAGTGCTTCTCCACGAACGACTGTATGATCATCTTCGATGTGGAAACAAATGAGTTTAGCTTTCCATGATGTCGCTCCAAGTGTTCCAAGGTGCGCGACTCTCCGGTCGACTGCAGGCCGATGACCACCGCCTTGCCCATTCGCGTCGCCTGGCGCGTCATCCTGACCACGTGGTTCACCTTCGCGGCAATACACAGGTTTTTAAAGAACCTTTGATGGGCGCACCAGAACTGGCATGTTATAATCTTCTGTACTCGACTTTCGACGCACATCAGCCTGCAGGCTTTTTGGAACTTTTTGTTGATTTCGGCCCACAGTTCGGCGGCCAAGTTATAAACCTTCCGGAAATCCTTTGACATAGGCACCTCCTCGATGCGGAAGCTCACGTCCCTGAAGCTCAGCTGGCGGGATATGTAGGTTCCCCTCAGTTTCATATCCATGGCGACGATCTCCATGGCACCTATGCCTCGTTTCTCCACCGTGTTGACGAATTCGTAAAAGTCTGGGTAGGCAGTTCCAGGTCCCCACAATCCCAGACGCACCATATAGGCCATGTTTCGAGGCTCACTGGCTCCCGTGGCGGAGGCGTAGACCACCCGGGCGTTGGGCAGCACCTTTTGCAGTTGCAGCACAGTGGTGCCAGTCTTGGTGGATTTTCCGACGTTCATCAGGCTCAGATTCTTGGCCTTATGGCACTCGTCGAAGACGATCACGCCATTGAATTTCTTCCCCAGCCATCTGGTGATTTGTTTTAAACGGGTTCTGTATTTACTACTGCTTGTTAAGGACTCACCAATAAGAGCGGTATATGTACAGAATATCACCCCCCGTTTAAAGTTGTCGTTTTCATCAGAGTCTATGCGACTGTACCGGAATTTACTTATAGAACAGAGATCGATTTTGTCCAAAGCTCCTATGTCGTGGAAGTCTCTTTCGGCGTCAAATTTCAGGTCGTTCGATACGGAAATCCAGAGAGCTCGTTTCCTGCCCTTCAGGTAATTGTCATATATAATGCTGGCAATGGTTCGGCCCTTACCCACTCCGGCGCCGTCGCCCAGGAGAAATCCGGCTCGCTCGCCACTGGGAAGGATTTTCTCGTGAGCCTGGCACGCGTATACCACCGCTTCCAACTGAAGGGCACTCAGCGAGGACGTAGTACGTTCCGGTAAGGAAAGTTTGTATGTAATATCGGGAAACTCGACTGATGACAGAGTCGCAGTCTCCACAACAGGATCCGGGTGGGCCACCCCAACCTTGAGCTTGCTGGGCCAGTACTCCGCGAAAGTGTCTGCTACGCCGATCTCCTCGTAATCGACTTCCTCGTCCTCCACGGCCTGCTCGTTGGCCAGAATGACTCGGTTGACTAAGTCTCGACCTCGCCCTCGGATGTTTGGACAGCCGGCCATGGTCATCGGCAGGGTCAAGTACGGCTTGGAGGTCTGCAAAATCGTATGCAGCTGGCTGGCCGTAAGGCTTGGCAGTTCCTTTTTTTTCATGTCTTGGACCGGCCTGTCGGGCTCCGACAGCGGTTGCACCATGGCCACATTGGTCACAAGACCGTCTGGTCCTGTGGTGTAGGAGACCGATATATCCTCGCCCTGAACATTATGCAGTCGCGTGATCATCGGCAACTGAGGGACCACGCCGCCACGCTGATGTATCGGCGCCCTGGACAAGGTTACAGCCGCCGGAGCGTTCCTCATAACGTTAACGGAACTGCAATCTGCACGACCGGAGCCCTCAACTGGTAGTCCCATTGAGTCAGGGTTAGGGGTAGCAACCAATGGTGTGGGGGCAGCAATCCTAGGTGCGGGGACAGCAGCTATAGGTTCGGGGGCCGCAATCCTAGATGTGGTGAAAGTAATCATAGGTGCGGGGTCTACATCCATAGGTGCGGGGACAGCATCCTTATGTATGGGGGCAGCAATCCTAGGTGCGGAAGTTACAGCCATGGATGCGGGGACACCAGCCATAGGTGTAGCCTTAGGAGGTACAGCCTGCACTTCATTAAAGATCGAGCTGAGGATGTCATCCAGAGACTCGTCAGGCTCGCTAGGATCGGCTTCAATCATGGGCAATGAGTCTAGTTCCGCTTGCAGACGTGCTTCGATATCTTCATCTGTGGCCGGTTGCCTAGGCGACGGTATTTGTACTTGGAACGTATTTGATGTCGAGACTTGCCCTGAAGTCACATCCTCGTCGGGCATAAGTGACTTGAGTTCAGCCTCCAGCCGAGCGTCTATGTCCTCGGTACTTGGTGGCTCTAGCTCGAATTCCAAGGCGAAGTCTTTATCAACGGGACTAGGATTAGAGCCTGGTTCACTTTCAGTGACCTCCCGGAAAATTTGATCCAGCTCCGCATCTAGGGCTGCAAAAGAATCGGATGGAGGGTCATCCTCTTGCATGTCCAACGGATGCGTGATATTCACGGGCTTTTCTGGTTCCTCCGCCATATCGATTTGGATGTCATTCAGGTTGAAAGTGGACTTTGGTGGCTCTGGTTCGTACTTAGTTTTGTACATGGAGCAGGAATCAGCTTCGGCTAGACGCATCAGATCCCGTTTGGTGTTAAGGGCTTGAGTATCCACTGGCTTGACATCCTTTCGACCGCGTTTCTTCCGTCCAGAGGTAGAAGGCAACTCATTGTTATAGGAATTGTCCAGCACCGCATCTATGGCTGCAATAGTGTCTAATGAAGGATGGGTTTGCTTGTCCAACGAAGGGGTGGTATTCACAGGTTTAGCAGGTTCCTCCGCCATATCGATTTGGATGTCATTCAGGTTGAAAGTGGACTTTGGTGGCTCTGGTTCGTACTTAGTTTTGTACATGGAGCAGGAATCAGCTTCGGCTAGACGCATCAGATCCCGTTTGGTCTTAAGGGCTTGAGTATCCACTGGCTTGACATCCTTGCGACCGCGTTTCTTCCGTCCAGAGGTAATAGGCAAATCATTGAGATAGGAATTGTCCAGGACCGCATCTATGGCTGCAATAGTGTCTAATGAAGGATGCGTTTGTTTGTCCAACGGAGGGGTGGTTTCGACGGGCTTAACAGTTTCCTCTGCTCTTTCGATTTTGATGTCATTCGGGTTGAAGTCTGGTTCGTACTTAGTTTTGTACATGGAGCAGGAATCAGTTTCTGCTAGACGCATAAGATCCCGGGTGTTGTTAAGGGCTTGAGCATCCACTGGCTTGAGATCCTTGCGACCGCATGTTTTCTGTCCAGAGGTAGTAGGCAAATCATTGAGATAGGAATTGTCCAGCCCTGCATATAAAGCTCCAGAAGTGTCTAATGAAGGATCCCCTAGCTTGTGCAACGGATAATCTTCCGCTCTTTCGATTTTGATTTCATTCGGGTTGAAGTTGAACTTTGGTGTCTCTGCTTCGTACTTTGTTTTGTACATGGAGCAGGAATCAGCTTCAGCTAGACGCATAAGATCCCGGGTGTTGTTAAGGGCTTGAGCATCCACTGGCTTGAGATCCTTGCGACCGCATGTTTTCTGTCCAGAGGTAGTAGGCAAATCATTGAGATAGGAATTGTCCAGCCCTGCATATAAAGCTCCAGAAGTGTCTAATGAAGGATCCCCTTGCTTGTCCAACGGATGGGTGGGTTTAACAGGTTCCTCCGCTCTTTCGATTTTGATGTCATTCGGGTTGAAGTCTGCTTCGTACTTAGTTTTGTACATGGAGCAGGAAACAGCTTCGGCTAGGCGCATTAGGCCCCGGGTGTTGTTAAGGGCTTGAGTATCCACCGTTTTGACATCCTTGCGACCGCGTGTTTTCTGTCCAGAGGTAGTAGGCAAATCATTGTAATAGGAATTGTCCAGCCCTGCATATAAAGCTCCAGAAGTGTCTAATGAAGGATCCCCTTGCTTGTCCAACGGATGGGTGGGTTTAACAGGTTCCTCCGCTCTTTCGATTTTGATGTCATTCGGGTTGAAGTCTGCTTCGTACTTAGTTTTGTACATGGAGCAGGAAACAGCTTCGGCTAGGCGCATTAGGCCCCGGGTGTTGTTAAGGGCTTGAGTATCCACTGGCTTGACATCCTTGCGACCGCGTCTCTTCCTTCCAGAGGTGGTAGGCAGCTCATTGTGAAAGGAATTGTTGAACCCTGCATTTAGGGCTCCAAAAGTGTCTAATGAAGGATCACCTTGCTTGTCCAACGGATATTCCTCCGGTCTTTCGATTTTGATTTCATTCGGGTTGAAGTTGAACTTTGGTGTCTCTGCTTCGTACTTTGTTTTGTACATGGAGCAGGAATCAGCTTCGGCTAGGCGCATTAGGTCCCGGTTGTTGTTAAGGGCTTGAGTATCCACTGGCTTGACATCCTTGCGACCGCGTGTTTTCTGCCCAGAGGTAGTAGGCAAATCATTGAGATAGGAATTGTCCAACCCTGCATATAAAGCTCCAGAAGTCTCTAATGAAGGATCCCCTTGCTTGTGCAACGGATAATCTTCCGCTCTTTCGATTTTGATTTCATTCGGGTTGAAGTTGAACTTTGGTGTCTCTGCTTCGTACTTTGTTTTGTACATGGAGCAGGAATCAGCTTCGGCTAGGCGCATTAGGTCCCGGGTGTTGTTAAGGGCTTGAGTATCCACTGGCTTGACATCCTTGCGACCGCGTGTTTTCTGCCCAGAGGTAATAGGCAAATCATTGAGATAGGAATTGTCCAGCCCTGCATATAAAGCTCCAGAAGTCTCTAATGAAGGATCACCTTGCTTGTGCAACGGATAATCTTCCGCTCTTTCGATTTTGATTTCATTCGGGTTGAAGTTGAACTTTGGTGTCTCTGCTTCGTACTTAGTTTTGTACATGGAGCAGGAATCAGCTTCAGCTAGACGCATAAGATCCCGGGTGTTGTTAAGGGCTTGAGCATCCACTGGCTTGACATCCTTGCGACCGCGTGTTTTCCGTCCAGAGGTAGAAGGCAACTCACTGCGATAGGAATTATCCAAGCCGATTGTAGAATCAGTGCCGCCATTCAGTCCCGAAAGCTTCTCTGGTTCGTCTTTTTTTTGGGATCTTCGAGTGCGTCTTTTTTTCGGAACTAGCTCTTCTTCTGGTTTATCAGACGCTTCCGGCATAGGTTGTGATATGTCTGGCTTTGTATCCTTGGCCTCGATCTCTACCAGATCATTTTTAATAGATCTTTTGGAAACCCTCTTCTTTCTCTCTGTAGGGGTGACTTTCATCTGAATTGGGTTGACAAGGTTTTGTTGGACGTTTTCCATGAAAGTCCTTTCCATTAAGACATTTTCCTGTAAAATTCTTTCTTTAAAAAAAAATGTTCTTTTCAACTACATTTTCAATAATTGCTTTCATACCTGGTTACAGCTTGGCATATTCATGGGTAGATTCGCATTGATTATATTACCCTTGTTGATGTTGGTATCCAGCACAGACCAGGTCGCTTGTTCACTCACCTCACCAGATATAACTGCGCCAATGGCCTTCGAAGAAGTGGAAGGAGTTACCTCTTCTTGGTTAGCTTTAGTCTTCCTAGTGTAGCTTCGGCGAGTTCTCTGCGGCGCACTACTACTTCCTCTTCCTCTTCCTCTTCCCCTTCCTCTAGAGCTTCTCGACTGGACAGGCTTTTCAGCCTCATCCTGGGATGGAATCGACCAGACTGGCTTCTCAGCCTCATCCTTGGACGTCGTGGACTGGATAGGCTTTTCAGCCTCATCCTTGGATGCAATCGACCAGACAGGCTTTTCAGCCTCCTCCTTAGGTGGAGCCGACCAGATAGGCTTCTCAGCCTCATCCTTGGATGGAGGCTTCTCAGCCTCATCCTCCAATCCCCCAATCCCTGGGGGATTTGAAGAATCTTTTTTCTTGCGACTTGCATAGACTCGGGGCTTTCGTTTAGCTTCCACTTCGGAGGGTTCCGAACTATTGGCGCTCGTCTGCGACCTCTTCCGCTTGTAGCTCCTCTTCGCAGGAGCTGCGGCGGGTTCGGGGGAATCTACCACCGGCTCTGGAGGTTTGCGGGTCTTTCTACCAGCCCTCTTTGGTGGCCCGGCCACTTGCAGACTCTCTTCATTTGTTATCATACTTGCCTGATCGTTCGCCACATTGGCACTTCTTCCTCCTCTACCAGAGCCACTTGCCCTTGATCTGGCCGGCATTATTTTCCTGTTTTTAAATTTATGCACTTTAATAACTTTTTTACAATAATTATTATTTACTGGATTTATTTCACTTTATTGAAATTATACGACGTGTTCCATGCAAGAACTTCTTTCCGAATGAAGAATATTTTTCTTGTTCAGAGCTCTTATTAAATTGCAAGTCATTTTCCACAGACTACTTGATTTTTTTTTTTTACCAAAAGCTACTAGTCATGATTTAGCAAAAATATAATTCAAAATGTACTAAAAAAGCCCCTGATAAGTGTTGGAAAATGTTATGTTCTTCTGACCATAACCTTAAAATAATCTATTATGTAACGCATACTCATACTTATGTAACCCACAACCCATTTGAACGCCATTTCTTATATTTTTTTAAGCTTAAATTTATACCCCAAAAAATCTTAAATATTTAAATCAAGACTTTGCGAAATCCGCGAGGCAATCGGCCTAATAAGGCAGCCTTCATTTGCACATAAATTCTGAGAAACCGTTGACTAGCGCTCCGTTATATCGATCGATGGCCGTTTGGGCCAAAAGTAAAAGGAGCTGGGACCCGGCCGGAACCAAGGTGGCAGCAACGGTAAATGATAATCACAAAAATGGCCTGCAACATGTGTGCGGAAATACGCGACGCGACTTTCTTGGCGAAAGAGTTTTCGCAGCCCTTTGGGCACTTTGCCTGATTGGCAGACGCCTGGATGGCTGGCTGGCTGGCAAAGTGGGGACAAGTGGGCTGAGTGCCGCGGCATGCCAGTGGAGAAAAGTGCCACCCCAGGCTGGGCCAAAAGTTTTCCAGGCCATTCTAAAGTTTTCAGTTGGCGGAAGGGAACTTTTTGGCTTTAGCTACGGTTTGGGTTGGCCCAACTCTTGACTGTCGGCGTTTGGTTTTGGCCGCCAATAACTCAACAATATTAAGGTTGGCACGTGCGCGCCCCTCTCGTACCAACACCCATACTCGAGCTGGTTCTTGTCCTTCTGCCGACTTTGGTTCTTAGCCTGGTTCTCTGGTCATGGTTTTGGTCGGGGCTGGTGTTGTCTGGGTCCGGAATCCCGGATCCGGTTAGCCTTGTCGCTGTTGGTCTCTGTTTGTTGCAAAGTTTGTGGCTCGTTAAGCAAATTCAAACGACTTAAGCGGCAACACATGTTGGCAAACAGCGGTCGTCGATGGGCGGGACATTTCGGGTTGTGTCGTCATAACTCTTGGCTGATGCTTCACTTTGTTCCAGTTATTGCTCTAAATCGCTCATATTTGCAAAAACTATTAAATAAGCTTGATCATGACAGTGTGCGCTATATGGGCTAAGGGCAATGATGGTGGAGAAGAGTTATATATAGACATCATGTTGGTTGGGATGTATGAATAAACTGGATAGATTTAAGAGTGAGTCCAGGATGCTCTTAGCTACTGCCTTGATTTTATTTACTCATCTTATAAAGTTTGAAATAATTTAAGATATGAATATAGGAGAGCAGGGAATATAAGATACCCGATACTCCACCTGCCATCTCAACCTCAACTAGCCAGAAGAACAACATAGAATAACTTTTAATTAAAACTACAATTAATTTAATATTTTAAACCAAACATGATATATACTTTCTTTACAAACCTACAGATACCATCTTCTCAATTATTGGCTAATTGACTTGCTCTTTTGCTCCTCTTTCCAGATCCTCCCCTGGTGGCGTTACGCTTGGGCTCAACTTTGACACCGGATGATATCAAGGAAGGCGACGATGTTTACTTCGAGTGTCACGTACAATCGAATCCTCAGTGGCGGAAACTGTTGTGGTTGCATAATGTAGGTCGCCTGAGCTGGAGCCGAAAAGAGAAGGATAGCCCGGGACCTGGCATTCGTTCCCCATTCGATCCAATCGAATCCATTTGATGCTGGGATTCCGGAGCCCGGACAGCGGGAATAGGAACTCCGGTCTCCGTTCTCCGATGTCTGGTCTCCGGTCTCCGGACTGAACCACTGAAAGGCATCCCCAGGCTATCTGCTTGGCTGGCACCGTGCATTCATTTCTGTTTAAGTGTCAATAACAAGGCAGGTTGCGTATGCGTTGAGGTGGCTGCTCTGGGAGACGCCGCCGATGATGTCATGATGCATGCAACCTGGCCTGTGCCACATTTGCTCATTTCAATTCTTGTGGTCTCCGTGTGTTTGTGTGTGTGTCTGTGTGTATTTGGTCGAAAGTGCTTGTGAGCCGGTTAGTGGTGAAGAGGCAAGAGGCAAGAGGGTGGTCCGTGGCTTGACGATGTGCCATTTTGGGTAAAATAGTTTTGGGATTTGCGGCATTGATTTGCCGTCGCTCAACTGCAGTCCGCATTCGCTTGCCAATCACTCAGGCCAAGTTCCCATATTTCCCCGCAATCCCTCCCAGATCCCACTATCATCCGTTCTCGCTTCCTGCCCCCCTGGGTGAGAGTATGGTCCAATGTGGGTGGGTGGGTCGATGCGAGTGTGTCTGGTGGGTGGCTGGAATTTTTGCTTTTCGGAAGCGCTTAGCGGATTTTGGCAAATTGAAATTCGAACTCGAGTGGTTATAGAACGGATTTTAGATTTTAGTGCTCCTAGCTGAATGATCCATTACTGAATTAGTTCTGATTTATGCATAGATTAACAGTTTGGAAGGTTTGAACAAATGATTGGCAATACAATCCATACAGCATCCAGATTTGAAAATTTTATTTTAGGCTTTTGGGGTATACCTACAATGGGGTATCCCATGAACAGCATTGATAGACAAGTATATAGACTAGATTTAGCTTCTCTACTTATATTTCTAGATTGGTTTATTTTATATGGATTTTGTTATGCTTTTTAGGGCATTCACTTGGAGCACAATACGTCGGCCCGTGTCATCCGCTCCAACCAGAGCCTGGTGCTGCAGAAGATCACAAAGCACTATGCTGGAAACTACGCATGCAGTGCCATCAACGACGAGGGAGAGACGGTCAGCAATCAGTTGCCACTGCGGGTGAAATGTGAGTATGACTAGCCTAGAGATATTACTTCAAAAATACAAAGATCCTGTGAGTCGTTGGAGCAGACTCTGGATTCCGGACTGTTGTGATGCATCAGCGATTTTAAGCATAAATTTGCCAAGCGCCACTTTGTTTGAATGCATCATCTATCTGGGGGCATGGCACTACCCGGCTCCTTGTTTGGCCCTTGTCTGACACTCGGAGCTCGTCTGTTTTCTGTTTTCTTATCATAAAGTCAGAGCTGCAGCCGTCGCAGTTGTCATCCCTCGACTAAACCCCCCCTACTATATCCACGACTCATTTGATGTATTGCAATTTTCTTTTTTCTTCTCCGGCTGTACATATTTATTTTTCGCTTTTTTCATACTTATGTATGTATAGTATAGCAGGCAGCTTTAGCTGAGCTCGGTCCGTTTTCATTTTACAACACAAGCCTGGGAGTCTTGGCGCAGTTGCACGTCAAGGCTGGGGAAAAAATATTTTTCATTCCGCTTTTTGCATAAATACAACATTTTCCTTGGCTTCTCCGTTTGTTTGCCGCTGTTCCGCCTTTCATATGCTTGCCACATGCGTTGGCTTCGGCCATATTTCATCGCAGGCTGCCGCTCTCCAGCCGGCTGCTGGCGGAATTATGCTTCAATTTAACAGCCCGCGAAATGTAGCTGCTGCCGAGCCAACCTCCTCTCGATCCCCGCTTGAATTTAAGCAATTTGACAGACGCCTCGCCTGATGAGGAGCACTACGTTCTGTATGGATGATGATGATGATTACGTGGCTCGTAATGAGCCAGGCGTACTAGTGGCTTAGTCTAGCGATTTCCAACTGCGGCTGGGGTCTGTTTTGGAGTGATACACATGTACCTACACTTGCAAGTTGCAAGTTCCTAGCCCCCGTTTGCCCCGTTCTTTGAGCCATACAAATTGCTGCCCCAGCCTCAGTTCCCCACACAGATACTCTCACATACAGCCTGACAGGCGCATTGCTGCCAGTCATAAATTAAATGGAGTGCGCCGCCATTGCAGCAAAGGAGCAAAGGATGTTGCCTTTTACACTGGCTGCACTGAGAAACATTGGATCGGGAATGCCACTTAATCACTGAAAAAGTTAATAAAGCTTGTGAGTGTAATTAGAAGAAATTTCAACGATTTTAAAACCATGAGAATTGATTAAATTTTAAATAGGCTTCTGTGTTTTAACTTCAAACATTCCAAGTGTATTCATGTTTTCTGTTTCTAATAATTGAAACGTTAATGAAATGTAAAACTATAAAGCCGAAACTATGCTATTGATTTTAAACAAATAACAAAAAAATAAATAAATCAGCCAAACAATAGTATGCTTTAATTTGGTTTAACTTATACAAACCTGTTGCTTTTTCTGGGAATACTTCCCACATATTCCAACCATACACATATATGTAGGTCAGTTTCAACTTTCCCATAACACTCCTCAAGTACTGCTTAATTAGCAAAGCTACCAACTAATCATTCCACATTCTTTCCCATTCTATATCCAAAATACATAATATTTAAGTCCACAAGAGAAACAACAAGGATACCCGAATTGGGCGTAATTTTCCGGCTAATTAATTACGCCCCTTGGTTTTTGTGTACATTTTTGAAGATAAACAATTCATCAGAAATTCAAGTTTCCCATCCAAAATGTGCCAGGCGGATGTACCACAAGGGCTGGGGGAGCCGAAAGAGGAAGTAACTGTGACGGAGTGAGAAAGATGGGTGGGTGGGTTCGCCGACGACAGCAAATTACGCATACGCCACGTGTGCTGTCAGCTAATAATCCTTTAACATTTATGGAACGCCTATTTACCTGGGAAGTACTAAATCATGTTGCCACATTAATTAATTTCCCGTGAACGAGAACAGGGGACCGTCACTCGAAAGCTTTTCAAATAAGACCCCCCCCTGTGACCCCAAGGACCCCTTTTCCCAGTGTTTTTGATCCCTTGTCGACTGACTAACTGACTGATGTGGAGGCGTCGCGCCTT